AGTCGCTCACGCTGGGCCCCCACACACATTCTGGAAGCTTCTTTCATCCTGGGGGGAAAACATCACCCAACGCCGAGCGATCCTGCGTGACCATGCTGACTTTGGTCAGTGAGTAACTGTGACGAGTCCCCAGAACAGTTCTGTCCCCTGCAGTCTACAGTAGTGCCTTCTGCACTTGAGCAAGGAAAATTAGGGGACAGGTGGGTCGCTGCTAACATCCTCAGACCAGGGTCGGGGGCTTTGCGGGGAGCGACCGGTGACGGTTGGCACAGTTAGAGGGGGTCTCCGGGTGGGACCTGTCCGGGTGGGACCAGGAAGGGTGTCAGCCCCGCTGTCTCTCTCTGGCTGAGGCCACAGTTCCAGCCTCAACAAGCTGCCTGCGGGGCGGCCCTGAACTTGCCCCCCGAGAACTCGAAGGAAGCAGGGTCGGCTCCCTCGCCGTCGGGGTACAGGGGGAATGAGAGGGACTGCAGGGCTGCAGGAGCGGACGGCAGTCCACAGGCCCTGTTCGCCCGATCAACACCTTTCTATACAAGGCCAAGCAGCAGCACAGGACCGGGTGGAAGGGAAATAGAGCCCCGGGCAGGGACCCGTCCACCTCGACCCGGCAAGTTCTTTTTTCTTGTTTTGTTTTTTTGTGTTTTTCCGGTACCAGGAATCGAACTCATGACCTGGTGCTTGGCAGGCAGGCGCCGTGCAGCTGAGGTAAATCCCCAGCCCCAACCCGGCAAGTTCTTCACCCCAGACGTGAATCCCAGGCAGATCCGGAACCCCTCCTCCGCTGGGGGTGCCACTGCGCCTCCGCTCAGCGACCCAGGACTTTCGGCCCATGCCTGTCTCCATCAGGGAAGCGTCGGGCAGAGTCAAGCCCAGGAGGAGGAGCTCTGGATGTCAGACCGGCGGTAGATGGACGGCAAACCCACCGTCGCACGAATGCACATGCCATTCCAGGCGTGACAAGAGGTAGGAGGAAAGTGAAGGTTGGCACGGGACAGACCTGAGGGTAGGGCGGTGGCTCACCTGGCCTGGGAGACCAGGGAAGGGCTCCGGAGGAGGTGGCCCTGAGGTGAGACCTGGCGGGCGCGGGTGTGTGTGTGTGTGTGTGTGTGTGTGTGTGGTGTGGCCACAGGGCTCCTGCAGCAGCCCTAAGCTAGCGAGTGGCCTGGTTGAGTTTCAGGAGCAGGGAAGACGGTCGTGCCCAAGGGCTGACTAGCAGGGAAGAAGAGGGGAGTTGTGCCGAGAGCACAGATGTGTCAGCAAGTCCTGTTTGGGGGTCACCATCAAGTGGGGGACATTGCTGTGCAAGGAGGTGAAACAGCACAACAGAATCCCCCAGGCAGCTGTGAGACTCAGTGGCTGATCTGTCCAGAGGAAGGGCTATTTGATGGGGTCTCGAAGGTTGCATAGGAGTTTGTTAAGACAAGAGAAAGACAGGAGGGAGAGTGTCTGTGAAGGCCAGGTAAGCAGTCAGAGTGACTAGCGTGTAGGGTGTGCTGTAGAAAAGCCTGGGAGATGAGGAAAGATGGAGGTAGGATGTATTAATTAGTCCATTCGCCCACTCATTCAACCCAATCTGAGGGTTTACTGCATGCTTGGTACTGGAAGCACAGCTACACACAAGACAAAATTGGCTGCCCATGTGCTATTCCTCCTGCCTTTCCTTGTCTTATCAAACTTCTATGCAACCTTTGAGACCCCAGTCACGTTCTGCTGCGGGGAGGAGTGTCAGCGAATACTTAGAGCATGGTTATGTGTTCCAAGCAGCGGTCAAGTTCTGTAAATGTCAGCACAGTGGGAAGGGGGCAGCCGCGAAGGAGGGGCCCAGTGTGAGCGCGGCCCGCCACGGGACTCGCGTGCAGAGGGTGCAGGAGAGCCCTGCTCCAGGGTAGGCCTGGTCTCATGTGCTCAGGACAGCAAGGGGCCCGTGTGGCTGGCGAGGCGCAAAGGGAGAAAGGAGGGCCGTGACCAGGGCCTGAGCGCCAGAACTGCAGCCCAGCGTCGAGACTTTGGACTTTCACGAGGCGGTCGGGAGGGTGCAGAGGGTTTTGTGCAGGGGAGAAATGGGGCCTGACGTGCTCTAAAGGGGCAGCAGGAGCAGGAGGCCCAGCCGTCATCATGCGGGGCGGGGGGACCTCCAGGAGCCGGGCAGGAGGAGCAGCAGGGTGTATTTTGGAGACAGAGCCAAGGGATTTGCTGATGCATTAAATGCGGGGCATGTGAGCAAGAAGAGCGTCCACGATTTTTCACCAGTGAAAGTGGGCGGCTTTGCCACAGCCCACGAGAAGGATGGCGGGGCGGCGGGGCGGGCAGGTTGGTGCGGGGAGTGCAGGTTTAGAGTTTTAAGGTGGCGAATGAAGCTGTATGAGCCGAACACTCACAGGAGTGCTTTATGTACGCTTCATACTAACCCTCTGGAACGTGGGTGCTTTGCGGGCCGCTCCCCCAGTGTGTGAGGAGCAGTCTCATGCCTGCCGACCCCTCAGAGTCCCCCTCTCCACCACCTCACGGGTGATCACAAGGTCCTAAGGTGTCCCTTAATAAGTAGAAGCTCTTAATTTTAATATAACTGAAATCACCAGCCTTCTCATTTATGTCTGATACTTTCTTATTTAAGAAAAATCTGCCTATTGTGAAATTAGGGGGGTATTCACGTAGTTATTTTTTCTTAAAAGCTCTCCAGTGTTGCTTTTCTGCATTTACCAGAGCAGCGGAGCATTCCCCCTCTGTGCGCAGCCGCTCCCGCTGGTCTGTCGGGAGTGGGGCCTCACCTGTCTTTCCATCTGTGAAGCCGGCTCTTGTCCCTGGACCTCAGCCATCAACAAATAAATCTGCCGACTGCTAAGGAGGAGGTTTGCCGATATAGGCAGGGAAAGGTTACCAATGGGGTGCAGCCCTTTCTAGGGACACTGGGTTTGATCTTAGAGCCTCTCAGGCCATGACTGTGTTTTAAAATCAACTTTATCAATGTGTAATTTACATGCAATAAAGTATATCCTTTGTAAGTTTACAGACCCATGAGTTTTAATGGCCGTACAGAGCATGTAACCTAATCAAGGTGTACAATTTTTTCGTGGTCCCTCAAATTCCCTGGTACCCCTTGCCAGTCAGTTCCAGAATGCCTTCCTGTCTCTGTTGATTTATTTAAACGCTGGTCAACCAGGTGTGGTGATGTACACCTGTAATCCCTGCACTTGGGAGGCTGAGGCAGGAGGATCACCATGAGGTCCAGGCCAGCCTGTACTATATACGTAGTGAGACCTGTCTCAGAAAAGCCAAAAATATTTTAAAAATAAACTCTGGCCCCCGCTTCACAGCACCCGTCTGTTTACTGACTCTGCACGAACCCTCCAGGGGGCCAGCACAGGCACCATGGGAGCTGCGAGGGACCTGGCGGCGGTCTCGGGAGCTCCCGGTGTAATGGGGGCAGGACAGGGTGCAGCGGATCACACGCCTCCCACGGGTGCAGAGGAGCTCACAGAACCCTCTTCGCCTGGGAGGGGGTGGCCAGGAACCGAGGAGTGGGGAGGCCACGGAGGAGTTAGCCAGACAGGGTGTCCCGTGTGCGGACAGACGGACGGAGCTGCACGAGCTCTCAGAGGACGGAGCGGAAAGGCGGCGCCGCACCTCCGAGTGCGCGGGAGACCCCGCCATTCCGTCTGCTTTTCCCTGCACCCGGCCGTGTGCACACCGGGCCCCGCACGCGCCGGGTGCCTGGAGAGGGGCTCGCTGTCCTGCACAGCGGCTTCTGAGGGCTGCCCGCTGCCCCACCCTGGGGACAAGCAAAGAAATGGGGGTCGGACCCCCGGCCCAGCCTCTCCGGAGAGGCAGGACTGTGCACACAGCACTGGCGGGCGCTTGGGGGCTTTTCGTGGGTAATTTAGACACAGCACACCCTTCGGCTCAGAGCCCGGCCCAGCTCCACCTGGGCCCCGTGTCATCGCCCGGTGACAGGTGTGAAGGATCCGACTCCCCCGGAGCTTGCAGTGTCCTGGGATCCCGGGCTTTTTCGGCTCAGGACTTCAGCCTGCAGCCTCCACCGAGGGGCGGAGCGCTCGCCGGGAATTCCCCGGTTCCTCCGTTCACACAGGCTCGCAGGACGAACGGCGGGACAGCGCAGGGAAACGTCTCAGCCCCACACGGAGTGCTTCAGTGCCCCGGCCAGGAGGAGAAATAAGGAAGGAGAATCGCGACGGGCTCAGCGCCGGATGAGGAGGGCTGCCCAAGGCCCACGGTGCAGGCTGCGAAGCAACAATACCTTTTCCTTTCGCCCCGCCTTTCTTTCTTTTTCCAGTATCCGGGATCGAACCCAGGGCCTTCACGCTGAGGCTGCACCCCCAGCCCTTTAAGACTTTTTATTTTGAGACCAGGTCTCTCTAAGTCGCTATGTTGCCCTGGCTGGGCTCACACTTGTGACCCTTCTGCCTCAGCCTCCCAGGGTGCAGGGTGGATTTCCTCTGCACTGCGCACGCGCTCACCTCCAGGGGTCTGATTTCAACCCTGTGAAAAGTCGCTGCCGTCCTTATTTTCTGGACTTTAAATGGGCTAAATTCTTGTGCTCGGTTGACGGCACTTTTTCCAGTGAACTCGTGCAGGTGCAAATATCTTCAAAATAGTTAAATTCTTGCAAATGTATGCCGCACTACCCAGCCACGAAGTTTCCGGTATTTACATAGCTGGGGCGTCTCGGCCGTGGGGGCCACGGCACTGGTTGAGGTCTGAGGCATTTACATTTTTCTATTTGGAGACGTCGGAAAAGCCAGCGAGCGTTCTAGCGGCCATCAGAGCCCTCCCGTCGTGCAGACACCTTCCTGTATGACATACAGACACCGCCTCCCTGGCTCGGCCCGGGATCCTCTATTTCTGGAACACTCACCAACCCCGCCCCTTCCCCGGGCCATCGACACCACCACGGCCCGTGTACCATTTGCATTAGTGGATAAGCGCCGATCCCGCGTTGATCGCTGATTGGCTACGGCGGAGGTGGGCGGTTAGCGCGCACGGGAGCCCAGCTTGGCGGCCTGAGCAGAGCGCGCTGTGTCCACTTCTCACCCGGCTAACTGCAGCTGCCAGCGTCCGCCCTCGACTCACACAGACTCACACAATCCCCGCAATCGGAACCACCGCACTGCCCTGGAGCTTCGGGGCCTGGTCAGCTTGCTTCATGTCTTTGGCTTGTTTCTGTGGCCAAGCGGTGTGGATGCGGATGAGTGCAGGTGGGAATCGGCTGCCGCTCCGAGAGCACCAAGCGCAGCGCCTGTAGCGATGTGTGCAGTTACTGTCACAGCTCGTAAACACCTGGTTATTGTTTAGTGAGTCATTCCCCGAACAAACCTAGTCCCACCCTCCATCCCTTTTGAGTCTGTGGAAACCACAGGTTGCTAGATAAGTGGGTTGTGTGTTGGATTTTATTCACTTCCACTCAGCAAAAGATAATTCTATAATTGCTTCAAAAATGTTCTGTTAGTATACTATTGAGCTTTGGTGACTTTTTCTCATCTTTAGAAAAAACAAACATGTCTCAGGTCCTTGGGAGGCTGAGGCAGGAGGATCACAAATTGAGCACAAGTTGCGTACGGCCTGGGCATCTTAGCAAACCCCTGTCTCAAACTAAATGAAAAAGAACTGAGGATGTAGCTCAGTGGCAGAGTGCTTGCCTAGCAATGCTCAGGGTCCTGGATCCAATGCTTGGTGCTGTGTAAAACCAAAAACAACCTAAAAGCTTCTGGATTTTCATGAGTCAAAAGAAAACCTGCTGAGAACTTGAAAAATATCCCTTATGATTTTCACTTTAATACCCAGAAAGAACTGAATTATACCCTGCTCCCTCGGCTACTTCGGAGGGAACAGAAATTAACCTGCTTGTGCTCTGTGGCTAATCACAGACTGTACCACCTGCTGAAAGGGGGTTACAGATGGGCAGCCCTACTCGGGTGCCTGCAGAGTTAGATTAATGGGCGGCCACTGAAATTCTGGCAGAGGGAGCTTCAGAGATGATGGTGTTGGTGAGAGCTTTGAGATGCTCAAAGGAAAACAGACTAGGGGTGCAGTCATCTTTCATCTTTATAATGATGTGTCAGGATGTGTCTCGCTGCATGTTCCAGAATACCTGGCAATGGCTAGAGCAACAAAGATGCTTCATTATCCCTTCTAACAGGACGTCTGGTGGTAAGCAGCGCCAGGTTCATGCGGCTAAGGGATGACTTTCTATCAGTGCCCTCTTATCCTCAACATGTTGCTTTTTTCTTCGTTTCATGGCTGCTGTAGCGCCAGGCATCTTGTCCTCATCCCACCATGTTTAAAGCAAGAAGTAAGGAAGGGACGGTGATGGAGAACTCTGCTCTCAGGACTTTTACCGGGAAGCAACATCTTCCCAGAAGATGCTTAAACAGATGTCTCCTGTACCTCATCGGCTGGAACTCAGGTGTGGCCACTGGTAACTGCAAAGGAGGATGCGAAGGACAGTAGCTGGCAAAGTGCACCAAGAGGGCCAGGATTTAGATGGCAGGAACTGCAGTGGGCTGGGGACAGAGTGCAGCGCTCCATGTAAATGTCACGCGTGTGGCCCCTGTGTGATAGACGTGACTTCGGGCGGTAGGTAGGTGGCGTGGCGGTCCCCTCCCCTGCTCCCTGACGCTCATCCCTCTTTCTTGCAGGCAGTCTGGGTTTTCTTGAGCACACTCACCTCCCTGCGGTCCCTGCATCTGCTCCCCGCATCTGTATAAGGCAGGCGCGGTCCCGGCACCCTCCGACCCTCCCTGCTGCAGGGCCTCGTCCACCCGCATAGTCTCCACTTGCCCAGCCCTCGCTCTGCGTTCAGCTGGTTCTCTGACCCCGTTAGGGCTGTCACGGGTCGGGGTGTCCCTCAAACCCACGTCCGCCGGGGAGTGCAGAGCGTGTCTTCATTAGGAAACAGGGCCTTTGTGGATGGAGTTAGTCAGGATGAGGTCAGTCCTGATCGGGGAGATTCAGGGACGGGGTCCCCACAGGAAGAGAGGACAGGACTCAGAGGCCAACACAGGAAGACCGTGGGGCAGCCGGAACTGAGGGGACACAACCCGGAGCCAGAGAAAGGCGCGGGCCAGAGGAGCCCCAGGAGCAAGGACAGGCAGGGGCAGGAGTTCCTCGTGGTACTAGGAGGCTTATGCTGCTCTCCGTCTCCTCACCTTGGCTGGTGGTTCCAGCCATCCTCGGGCACTAGGAGAACGGCCGAGGACACGAGGGTGCGGGCCCAGGAAGGGCACAGCCAGGGAAGCCGCGGTCCTCACCCAGCCCTCCTCCCCCAGGACAAGTCCCTCTGGCGGAGCCCGGAGCATGGGAGACGCACCTCCCCAGTACCAGCCTGATGAAATCCACGCAGAGGAGCAAGCACTAGTGACAGCTTCCGTTCTGCCTGCTCCGTTCTGACCCCGAGGACACAGGTGGCCACGCACATTGGGATCTCTTCCGGCCGTCGATGTTCCTGGCTGCGTATCAGCATCCCTTCTGTTTTTGTTTTTTTTTTTTTTTTTTCTTTTTGAGACAGGGTCTCACTATGCAGTTCAGGCTGGCCTTGAGCTCACTTTGTAGCCCAGACTGGTCTCGACCTCACAGCGATCCTCCTGCCTCAGCCTCCCAGTGCTGGGATTACGGGTGTGCACCACCACGCCCGGCTCAGCATCCCTTCTGTTCTGAGCAGTGAGAGCACAGCTGCCGTGAGTGACACGCCAGACACCGTAGGCGGCCACAGCCAAACGCTCACAGGGCTAAAGTCACAGAGGCAGGAGCGGCCGGTGATACATGCTAATCTTTCAACCACAGTCTGCGCGCGGCGCAGTCAGTGAGGCGGAGCGTGTACTTCGCCTTGAAAACTGTAGTTAATCGAGTTTCATTTCTGTCCAAGCCAGGCTGTGGGTAGCGCCAACCCCTGATGACACAGGACAGGGAGGTGGAGACTGGGGACACTGCCGGAGGCCTGTGCGAAGCTGTCCCTGCAGCTGTCCCTGCCTGTTGCCCGTATAAAAGCTGGACATGGCTGAGTTAACGAGAGCCCTCAGTGTTTAAAAACAGATGTGACACCGTGTACAATCTCGTCGCCTCTAGGAACACCTATAGCTTGCTCCCTGTCTCTACCTCTTCTGGAGGATAGTCCTGGTACTGTGCTTCACACGTCACCCCGTGTATGCTGGCAGTGTCTGGACGGGTGTCCAGTTTACACCCATGATATCGTCATAGCTTCTTTTTCCACTGAGCACCCTTTCTCAGAGGTGTGCCCGTACCATCTTTTGCTTTGCTCCTCATTAGTATATATTTGCCGTGTTTTACAAAACCACTTCCCCACCACAAAATAACACTGGTGTCCTGCACATGGCCCCTGGTGGAGCTCTGACAGGCTTCCCTTGGGTCCTCTTGGTGGCAGTGGGCTGCTGGGTCCGGGGGGCACTTTGGTTGGCTGAGTGATGGCTAATTTCTCTGGGTAAAGGAGTCCACACTCCAGTTGCTGTGCCTTATGGGTCTTTGTTTCTGTCTCTCTACTTAGCACTACTCAACTTTCTAACTTTTCCCAAATAAGAAAAAGGTAAAATCCTATGTCTTCAACACTGGCATTTCTCAGTGACTGATGACTCTGAGCACCTCTTTGGATCCCTGCATTTTGAATTCCCACTTCTGTAAACTGCCTGTTCGGGTTTCTCGCCCATTTTCCTGTTTTCTCGCTGGGGTTCTTTCTTCTTCTTGGTCTGCAAAGTTTGCCTTGGTGGCTGTGACAAGGGTATAGACCTGTAGATAATCACCCTGGATTATCTCGGGGGTGCTAGTCTACTCAGAGGAGTCTTTAAAAACAGATTTCTCCAGACTTGACCAGATGTTGCTGATGGAAAAGACCGAAGCGGAAGCCACGAGCCCAGGAAGTGGTGTGGCTCTAGAAGCCGAGAGGTTTTTGACAGCAGCCGCAGGCGTAGACACGGAGCTTCAGCCCCGCCGCGACCCGGCAGGGCCCTGGAAGAGATTCTTCTCAATCCCTCCAGATAAGGGCCATGCTGACTCATTCCCGGATCTTAGCCCAGCGAGAACTAGCAGAGCCCCCAGCTGAGCCCTCTGGACTCTGACCCTCGGGACGGGGCTGGTGCTCGCTGAGAAGTGTGTGTTGTCTGCTTCCGAGGGCAAAGGTTGCAGACCCGACAGCCACACTCAGCCCTCTTCAGCCTCGTGGCCTTGCTTTTTCCCAACCCTCCCTCACTCCCATGCACGCATATGTTCTCTGCTAGTGCAGGGGAGAGGCAACATCTCCTCCAGAAGAGTAAAAATTGGTCGCTAGGAAATGAAGAACAAGGGGCTGGGAATTTAGCTCAGCGACACAGCGTCTTTCCTGGCAAGCACAAGGTTGTGAGTTCGATTCCCGGTACTGGGAAAAAAAAAAAAAAAAAGGAAATGAAAAACAAAACAAGACTCTTTTTTAGTATACAAAGTACAGATCTACATCCAGTACGAAAATGGGGAACCAGCATAACTGTGACTTCGAACTTCCCTGGGGGTGGGGGGGCAGGAGGGAAGGGTTGCAATTAGGGAAAAAAAGTCTGGAAAAACCTCCCTACAAGGTGCTAATTTTAAAAAGGGTTGCCTCTGGGCATGGCAGTGTCAGCCTCTAGTCCCGGCTAGGAGGCTGAGGCAGGGGGATTGAATGAGCTCAGGAATTCAATACCAGCTTGGGCAACACAGCAAGACGCTGTCTCAGAAAAGGTTACAAAACACTGGCCCATGGCATAATAATTTTGTCCCGTTACTTTTTTTATGACTTTATCTTTCATGTTGAGGCTTTTAATCTATATAGAATTTTAATTTACTGAGTTCTTCTAAAAATCTATATAGAATTTTTATTAAGATTGCATTAAAATAGATTACATTGAATTTATAGGTTTATTTAGGAAGAAATGACAACCTTACAACATCAAATCTGTAAAATCAACCCATCGAAAAATAGAGAAACAGTTTATTCACTCATTGGGCTGATTGTCAGCATTTTTTTTTATCGTTTTAAAGTTCCCGGCTGGGCGTGGTGGCACACACCTGTAATTCCAGCACTCAGAAGGCTGAGGCAGGAGGATCATGGCAAGGTCAAGACTAGCTTGGGCTACAATGTGAGCTCAAGGCCTGCCTGAACTGCATAGCGAGACCTTGTCTCAAAAAGACAAAATAAATAAATAAATAAATAAATAAATAAATAAATAAATAAATAAATTTCCCCCTCAGAGGACCTATATATTGTTATTTCAGACACTCTACCTTTGACCATTGTGAACTGTATTTTTTTTTCTGTTCTGTATTAATTCAAATCTAGGATGCCATCAATGTAAGAAGCACCTCAAATTTTAGGTCGTTAAAATGTGTAAAAAAAAAAAAAAAAGAGCTGGATATGGTGGTGTGCACCTATAATCTAACACTCAGGAGACTGAGGCAGGTAGATTGTTATGAGTTTGAGGCCAGCCTGGGCTACACAGTGAGTTCAAGCTCAGCCTGGACTATAGAGCAAGGCCCTGTCTCAAAAAAAAGTGAAAATGTGTGTGTTACAGTTATTTTTTTTCTGTAGATTTATTGCCAGTACAGAGAAACACTATTGATTCTTCTGGGCTACTCTCCCATCTGGCGGTATAGCTTATAAGTTCTAGTATTTGTTTGTTGGATGCTGGTTTGTCTTGGTAAATGGTCAGAGTTCTTTCTCTCCCTTTCTGAGTTTTACCCTCTCTCGCTCTGTCTGCCTGCCCCTCCCCAGTGCTTGCAAACCCTCGCTTTATCTGATGGTCAACTGGGAACTTTGGGGCTCAGGGGCCAGTTATTTTTCTTAAGTCCTTGTGGTTAGGTTTCCTGAAGTTAATAAGCCAAGGACCCCACTTCATATAAAACCATTTCTTCCGAGGTCCTGAGTAAACAGCTCTCATCGGCGCTCAAAGGATTTCAGAGGAGATTGGGCGCATGCAGGGTGGTATGGCCGCAGACCCGAAGGACTTCAAAGCCGGCCCGCGTCTGTCTGTCTTCCCTATGCCACTTGGTACAAATGGAGTCTGACGCTCTGGTTAGTGGACGAAGCCAACTTCTTGTAGGAAGAGGGTGTGGACAGGCAGAGAATAGCTGGTGGGTTTAGTACAGTAATAATAACAGAAGAATGACAAAGGTGATGATTCATCTATCTATAGCAAGACTTTAATTTTCAAAGTAACCCTTTCTCACATTGGACTTGTAACAGCTCTGTGAACCTGGATAGAAAAAGCACCACTATCTTCATCTTCCTCATGAAGAAAGCTCTGGGCTCCCTCCTGGGGTGTGGGTAGCTTGCGGGGGACCAGCTTTTCAGGACGGGGCTGGTAAGGGGCAGAGAGGCTCCAGGCCACGCAGTGCTGGGAGGGTCGCTCATTCAGGGTGGCCTCGCAGCCTGGCTCAGCTGGAACCGCACGGGAGAGGCTGCAGGGGCAGGAAGGAGGCTGGGATGGAGCGGAGAAGGCGGCCCCGGGCTGTGGTGCTAAGACTGCGAGCCGGGCTTCTACGCCAGGCTCCGCGCGGCACAGCTGGCTGAGAGACTGTGATGGAATTCAAACTGCGTTACACGTGAAGTCCTACACGCTGTGCCGGCCTGGCGTCTGCGATAAAGGCGCTGACAGAGGCGCCCCATTTGCTGTTTGCTTAAAGGAGTCTGAGCCCCATCACTTCCCGGCCTTTTGGCTAAGATCAAGTAGAGCCCCAGAACCAGCCAGAGTCCTGCTGGAGAGCAGAATCCGCCGAGCACTGACAGCAAGACACTGACGGCTTGGAATGGGCCTTAGGACAGGCGGGGTCCTTGCGCCTTGGGCAGCCCTAGGGCCGGCCCTGGAAAGCACAGCTGGGATCTCAGCAGCACTGGTCTGAAGTCTCCTCAGGGAAGCGGTCTGCCTGAAGTCCTTTAGTGCTGATTCCATGCAGCGTCTAGGATAATCTTCCTTCTCAGAGTAAACTAATTAGAGACCTTAATCACTTCCACAAATACCTTCCTGCCGTGACGAGATTGGTATTTGGTCCTCCTCACTCTTCACGGAGACATGGTACCCGACACACACAACTCAGAGAAGGAGAGGGTTATTTTGGCTCACAGTTCAGAAGGTTCAGTCCGTGTTCACAGGTTTAAACCCAGAATGGTGTGGTGGGAGGGTCTGGAAGAGGAGGGCTGCTCACCACACGGCAGACAGGAAGTGGAGTACAGGGAGGAACCAGGAAGGGAGAGAGTACCCTTTTATTGGTTGATTGATTGATTGGTTTTTCTTTTTAAGACAGGGTCTCACTATGCAGTTCAGGCTGGCCTTGAGCTCACTTTGTAGCCCAGGCTGATCTTGAACTCTCAACAATTCTCCTGCCTCAGCCTCCCGAGTGCTGGGATTACAAGCATGTGCCACTACGCCTGGCAAGATTACCCTTTTAGTCCATGTCCCCAGGGACCTGCCTCCTAGCAGCAGTCAGCTGTAGCACCCCCTAATCCAATTGCCTTCCAAAAGCTGCACCTCTGAGTGCATGAGGCTCTTGGGGGCATCTAGATATAAACTGTAGCACATGTGATTGAGCAGCTGGGGGCTGCCACTTGTCCAGGTTGACACAAGAAACCCCCCAGTCCCCGTGGTAGCGTGCCAGAGGGCTGGGCTCATTTGCTGGTTCGATCCGGCTGATTTTCTGTTGAGTCCATTGACTCCAGACAGGGCTGATGGTGGCTTGTGAGCTCTGCCTGAAGAAGGAGAACAGGAGGCTGAGGACCTGCGTTTCCCCTCCCGAATTTCCTCCTCCAAGCTCCTTCCAAAGGTGCTACCGGCCAGCGGACAGGAGCAAATGAGCCTTCCCGAGAGGCGTAAAACCAGAGAGACATGTCAGGACTGGAAAAGGAATTTCCCGCCACTGGGAGCTGTCCCCACCTGCTGTCAGCCTGCACACAGCCAAACTACACCGAGTCAGGGAGGAGAGAAACGCTCCGGCACGGCTCATACTTGTTTGGTTTCTTGTTGAGTGGCTTAGGCCCCTCAGGGTTGCAGTGTACTAACATTTGTGGTTTGCACATCCTGGGGCTCAGTGGTGAGTGCTGAGGACCAGGCAGGGGTGGGGCTTCTGGGGCTGGGTCTCTGGGCTCCTGAGGAGGTCGGGGGTGAGAATCAAGCAGAGCACCGGAACTGGAAGTCAGGGGAGGCGAACCACCGGCTGTGAGCGCCTGTGTGCGCCGCTGAGCCCCTCGTGCCCACTGGAGCGCCTTTGGGGGGGGCTTTTGAGAGGTGAATGGGTCACAAGGTGGGGCTTGTAGATGGGGCTAGTGTCCTTGGGAGAGACACAGAGATAGTTTCTCTCTGTGCCTTTTGAGGACACAGGAAGAAGGCGGCCCCTCTGGTGTGACAGAAAGCCAGAAATCTTACGCAGAACAGGAAGAGGGTCCTACCCAGAACCTGTCCCTCTGGCCCCTGATCTGAAACTTCTAGCCTCCAGAACCATGAGAAATAAGAGGCTCTGAAGCCGGCTGGTCTGTGGCATTTTTGTCATAGCAGCCTGAGCAGAGACGACGACCCTTGGGACACCGAGAGGCTGTCCATGTCATGGAAGCCTCTCTTGTGTGGCTGTCGGCACTCTGGCAGCAGCACGGGCCTGTCCCGTGGGAAAGATGCCAACGACAGGCCCCAGCTGTGTGATAAGCAAAGACTTGCTCTTTAGTGGGACTGGAATCTCAAACCACCAGTGTGAAGCCTTCGTTAAAAAGTCACAGGAACTGTAATCCCAGCACTCAGGAGGCTGAGGCAGGAGGATTGCTATGAGTTTAAGGCCAGCCTGGGTTACATAGTGAGGCCCTGTCTCAAAAAGAGAAAATCACAGGACCTAGAACTCATTACCTGGAAGAGAAAGGCCACACTGCTGGTAGAGCCTAGTAATGCTAGTCAAACTGTCATGGGGAACATGCAGTCAGAGGAATTGAAAGGGTTTCCGTCTCAAAGAAAACAGTATGTCTGTGTGTGGAGCACAGGTCGCATGACAGGTGCAGGAAGGCTGTGCAGTTAGCTGAGCAACAGCTTCTTTCTTCTTCCAGGCCACTCGTCAGCAGAGCTCACCAACCTTGTCACCGCCTTCGAAAGATGTGGAACAGAGCTCACCAATCCTGTCGCTGCCTTCGTAAGATGTGCAAGTTCTGAAATTCAATGCTGTTTTCTCCACCACAAAGGCTACCCCAGGCAAGGAAAGGCTGATCTACTTTTTCTACATAATATTTTATTTCCCATTATAGCTTTACTGAAGTATAGATGATGTGCCATAAACTGCTAATTAGGTCCAGTAGAATTGTACCTTTTTGAAATCATCCCACTGTCAGGATAATGAACGCACTAGTCTCCTCCAGAAACCTCCTGGTGCCCTTGTGTGACCCACTTCCTCTCTGCCCACCCCAGGGCCCGGAAGTCCCTGATCTGTTTTCGTTTCTGTAGATCAGTTTGCGTTTTCTAGAATTTATGATAAGGTGGACTGTGTATTTTTGTGTGTGAGGTAAAGGACTTCTACACTCTTGGAATGCTCACTGTTGGGGTCAAGGCCAAGCTGGCTATGTGGAGAGATGAGAGAGAGAGAAAGAGAGAGAGAGAGAGAGAGAGAGAGAGAGCGAGAGAGAGCGAGAAGGGGCGGGGAGAGATCGAGCATTCCGAGTGTCCCAGCCCCAGCTACCATCTTACTAAAGCTACGTGAGAGATCTCAAGTGATACATGCAGTGGGAGCCAGCTGGTCAGTATAGTCTACAGCGGTTGTTACTGTGACCCTGCATTTGGGATGGCTTATTACCCACCAATAGATATCCCAGCAACCCAGCACTGACGCCCCTCAGAAACTCCCAGGATAAGGAGCAGAACCTTCTTGTAGAAGGCGACATCTGCTGTCCTCTAGGCTTTTGGTGATGAACTTCCTGCTCCTGAGGAAGAGGGACAGCTCCACCTCTGCCCCCTCCCTGGCCTCGCAGGCTGTCCCCGGCCACCTCCTGCGCTGTCACCCCTCTGCCTGGTCTAGAAAGTCCTGGCCCTGGGGTGGGTTTGCTCACTGGGCTCTTGGGCCGTGGCCTCGAGCAGCTGTTCTGTGACCCTGGCACTGGGCACCTTTGCCAGGCTGTGCCTGCACGCCTCTGGCTGTGGAGTGGCGTTCTGTGTGAGAGACGAGGACGGGGCTGAGAAGAGCTACTGGGGCAGTCTGTCCCCAGTCTTCCTAGAGAGGGGTATGGCGAGGGGTAAAGAAAGACAGAGGGACACACTTTCAAAGTACGTGGGGGCGCTGGGAGGGCAATGCCTCGGGTTGGGCAGAGACAGTGACACTCTGGTCCAGCCACCATTTATTGGGTGCACACAGTAATCGGAGGGATTATCGGATGACGCAGGGGCGGTGGTGACCTTCGGCTGCTGAGGATCGCTTCGGATGACTCAGAGGGTGATGGTGGTTTTATGCTGCTGAGGATCTTCACGTTGATGAGGGTGGTGGGGAGAGGCAGGTTGGGAAGGCGTGTGTCCTTTCCCCAAGGTGAAACTTTTTTAGTCACTGTCGGTTCTCCAGGAGCCAGGATGTCTTCAGCTGATGGAGTCTTGCCCTGGGGCATCACAGACCGGGCATCGTTGAGGCCTCCACTGAGACCAGAGGCACACGGAGTTACGTTCCCGTGTACCATAACAGGCGCCCACGGCAAAGACTAGGCCCCAGCCAAGCCCTAATCACAATTTAATTATGCAACGATTTCTCCCCCAAATTATATAGACTGGCCCTCGACAAAGAGCCACCTGGGAACGGCCTTGGCCCTGGCCCTGGCGCTGGGCGGTGGGGTTGTGGGGATCGCGCCTTCCTGTCCTCCTACCCCTTTCCTTTTCCAGGGGAGCTGGCACTGCCCTGAGCGTGACGTGGGGCGTGAACTCATCTCACTTCAAGTTGGCGATGACAGGCGTCTTCCAGAAGCCTAGTGCTGAAACAAAGGCTTAAAATACATAATGGATAGCTCCACTTGAAACTCAAAACTTTCCACTGAAAATACAGGAACCGAAGAAGGCACAGGCTGGCCACTCCAGGAGCGGCCTGCACCTCTGTCCTGTCTTCTCTCGCTGCCCTGGGCTCTGCTGGGGTTTGCACGAACTGAACCACAACTACTCAGCGTGCTTGCCCTGGTTCCTTGTATCTGTGAGCGTCACCCTGGTGCTGGCCGTGACGGCATTTCCCACACTGTCTGTGCTGTAACACACTCTGCTCTCTCACCACACACATTTTATGCATCCATTCTGCTGTTGATAGTGTCCCCTGTTTTGGGTTTTGCCCCATGGTTTGGGGAGCACTACTCTTTATGGTTTGGCTTGGGGAAATATTTTATGTCCCTACTGAACCCTCCATCCGGAGTACTGGGTTCTAGTCCTGTGAACTCTACTTACGGCTCCGGGGACCCGGAGCCCCACACAACCCTCTGCATGTCTCATCTGTCCCTGCAAGTAATTATGCTTCACCCCCCTCAGCTTTCTGTTGAATCCATGTGTCCTTTGTGAGCACCTACTATGTGCCAGCACCCTGTCAGGAGGCACAGCAGTCCTGGGGCCTTCTCCCTCGCTCCTGCCTCTCCTCAGGAAGCTCTTTCCCCAGCTCCTCTTCCTCCTCTCGCTGCTGCACCCTACTTCCTGCTCCTCGTGGAGCCTTAATGTCCCAGGGTCCATGTGACCTCTGTATCTCCTCACCCGTGAGGACTCTCACCAGTTCCACACTCACAGAGGCAGGCCCGGGCCAGCTTCCTGCAGGAGACTCATCCACTTGTGTCTTCCTGAGCCCTGACCTGGTGCGTTTGAGGACAGGGGACAGGCCGGTGAGCCAAGGTGTCTTACCAGCCTCCAGAAGCTAGAAGAAGCAAGAACCTCTTCTCCCACTGCCTCCAGAAAGGGTACAGCCTGGTAACACTTTGATTTTAGGCCACCAACACTGACGTTTGGACTTCTGACGTCTAGAATTGTAAGATGATAAATCTGTGAGGTTTTAAACCAGAGTTTGTGGGAATTGATTACAACAGCCATAAGAAACTAAGGCACCCAACACCCCTTCTTGGTCTTTGTAGTAGCTTCCCATACTCAGCACCCACAACTGAAGGGAAGACAGGTTTATTTGGCTCAGTTTCCAGTGGGCTCATCCATGGTCAGCTGGCTCCATGGGAGAAACAGCACGGCAGAAGGGCCTTGGGGGAGAGCTACTCACCTCATGTCCTCCAGGAAGCAGAGACAGAGAGAGAGATGGAGCCAGGGACAGGAATACACCTTTCAGGTCATGTGCCTTGTACCAGTCAGGGTTGGTACAAGACTTTGGGGGACCTCAAAATATAAGACTTTGGGGGACATTTTTATCTAAATATAACATTCCACCCCTGGCCCCCCAAAGTCTCATGTCCATCTCACTATGCACAATGCAATTAGTCCATCTCTAAGAATCACCAGAGTCCCCACCAGCCCCAGCACTGCTGAACAGTTCAAGCTCAGTGTTTCCTCTGATACTCAGAGCACACTCTTAGCTGTGAGCCCCTGTGCAAACCAGAAACAAGATAAATGCTTAAATATACAGTGGCACAGAGTAAACATCCCCACTCCCAAAGGGAGAAGGAGGGGGACAGAAAGGAATCAGATCAAAGCAGGACAAAAGCCCGGGAGGGTCAGAATGAAACACTGTGGTTCCATGTCCAGCATGCAGGGCAGGTGCGATGGAAGCTGAACTCCAAAAGGCTTGGGCAGCCCTGCCCCATGAGCTGCCAGTTGCATTCCACATGGCCGCACTCTTGGGTTGGCTCTGCTCAGTACCTGTGGCTTTTCTCAGCGGGCGGTCCACGTTCTTGGTACCTTTAACTTCTTGTGGTCACCAGTGCACTTTTGGCTTCACTCTCAGCTCACACATTGCCCTCTCAGCTGCTCACTGTCTCATCTCCCAAGGCTTCCTTTGAAGTCTGGGTGGAAGCCTCTCTGGCCCCACAACTCTTGCATTCTGCATTTCAGTAAAATAAGCACCACGTGGGTGATGCTAAAGTCTGTAGCCAGGCCTCCAAGGATCATGGCTGTAGTCGCCTCTGAGTGGTTGGATGGCTAGACTTGGGGATTCACTTCTCTAGGCAACCCTGAGTGGGGTACCCTGGGGTTCTCTTCTAAAAGCAGTCTTTTAAAGGAGTTTACCCTTTCACGCTCTTGAGCTTGTGATGGGTAGGGTCTGGCCATTGCTCAAGTTTTCCTCAAGGCATCTTTCCTATTGTTCTGATTCAAAGTACTTTTTTTGGAAGCTAATGTTTTCAGCAATCATTTTCTTCTTGGCCCCAATTTTATAGGCACTTCCTCTCAGGCCAAAATTTAAGTTTTTCAAATTTTTCTGCTTTACCTTTTGTTCTCAATTTTCACCATAAATCTCGCTAGAAGCAGCCAGCTGTGCTCATTTCACATCTTGAATGTTGGGCTGCTTTAAAATTTCCTCCTTCAGGTTAATTAGTCTACTACCTTTACTCTCAGTCTCAGAGCATGAGTCAAATGTAGGTAATTTTTTTCCAGCGTGTAGCACACATGGTCTGTTGTCCAACAGCTAATGGAGTCCTTGTTCTCAACTGAAACCTCCTGAGCCTGGCCTCTACTGTCCACATTCCTATCAGCTCTGTTCTGTGCTCTGACCAAAATCACTAGCATCCCAGGACTTCTTTAGCCAGCACCTCCAAAGATTTCCAAACTCTTTTTGCAAACCAGTCCCAAAAACTTTTCTAAAGCGCATGATCAGGTATAGTCACAAAGATGAACCCCCCCACTCCTGGTGTCAATTTTCCTTCCAGGTCATGCACCCAGTGACTCACCCCCTCCAGCCAGGCCCCACCTCTGAACATAAGACTTCTGGAGAACATTTTAGGTTTAAACCATAACAATCTTTCTGGTCAACTGCAGGATGAGATTGAAGGGTCTCTCATCTCGGCCTCTCAGGTTTATCCTGCCCCTACTCTTGGTTCTCATGATAGTGATGGGGCTGACCTCACTTCTGGCTCCAGGATAGAGCACATTATCCAGGACCAGCCAGTGAGGATGCCGCATTCTCTGGTCACAGAGACAGGTTAAGGATGGGCAAGTGATCACAGCAAGGCCAATCAGAATGCAGCAATAGCCTCTTTCTGGAGCTGTCAGGAAGGAGGCAAGGTCTTGCTACAGTGGACACTGAGCTGAAGGAAGGAGGTCTGGGGCAGGTGGCAGCCACCCAAGAATGAGGAAGACACAAAGGAGAGCAGAGGGCTGTAAAGAGACAATGTCTTCTGCGCCTGGAAGCCAAGGGGTGGGGAGCTTTGGTCTTCAGCCTGGCTCCCTGCCTCGCAGGTGCCCGGGAGGAGGGGCTCCGGCACACGGGAAGCCGTGCAGCAGGGAGCGCTATTGCGTGCCGGCCCTAAGGCCGGCCGCCACTGCTCAATTGAGAACTACCATGACACAGAGAGACAGTGACACAATTTTCCCACCATGTACCGGCTGCAGAGGCCCACCCACGGATGTGAGTGAATCATTCAAA